AGCAATTAATTCATACGCCCAAATCTACAACAAATAGATTATCAAAGTCAGTACTTTGTTACGAAATTAAATTTTACAAACACTAATTTTGAACTAAATCATACCTGGAAAGCATAGCTCAATCCCTTTATATTCCAAGCAGGTCTGTTAATTCTTTTAGGCTTCTCATCCTCCACGTTTTTCTTCCCTGTTCTCACTGAACTCTACACCGCCTTTTTTCGCTTTTTCTCTCCTTTTCCCTTCCCATCCTTGTCTTCATCTCTCTCTTTCTTCCCGGGAACAAACAACGGAGAATCTTGCAAACAGTCAAATGATATAGATCCCCAAGGATATTTGTTGAATTCATCCATTTTATGAACCAAATGTAAGTAGTCCTCATTTATCTTTACATTTTGGGGTCTACCCATAATCACAGACTCCACAAAATACAGCAGTCCCAATTTGAACGAGTCCTCGCTTCCTGTTTCGGACTTTAGGAATGCATTTTCTAAGTCCTGGCCAGTAATGTGACTCCTGTTGGTAAAATGCGCTTTCATAAATCGCTTATGATCTTCCCCGGCAGACGTTATGTCAGGCTCTCTTCCACATTTCAGACCACTTATCAAACAAAAATCCTTTACACTGAATTGAGCAACGTTGGACCCTACTGCATAACTAAGGCCCATCATGTCCTTCACACCAAGTCTTCCGACTCGCCGGAGTGCCAGACCATGCACAATTTGACCACTAAATGCCATTTTATGGAGTCCCAACAGGTGCCCAAACCAGCTCTCTCTAAATCTTTTCATAACCGACTCACTGAAATGTGCCCCAAAATTACACAGGACTGTTTGCGCAACACACAGATTATTCACCCGCGCAGAATAGACCTCTGACTCTGGGAAACAAAGCTCAAACCCAGAATCCATTTTATACCTGCAAAAGACACATTTTGCTTAAGAAACAGAACTGATACGTACTCACAATATTATGACCACATTAACATACAGAAGTGATACCTACTCACAATATTATCTACACATTTTCAAACCTACAAACACTATTTTCAACACATTACATAATTAATATCTACTAACAGAATTTTCAACATATCAAGTTACAAAATTGATACACTATTTTCAACACATTAAGATACGTAATTTCACCTACAAACACTAATTTCAACAAATTCAGATACAGAATTGATACCTACTACAAGATGTATTGATCCTTATGCATCCCAAATCATCTCATATTCAGAGTTAAGATTTAATTTTCTCTTATGCGTTCTACTTCTACTGGTACTTATTATTATTTATTTTCCAAGCCCCATTAAATCCCTAAAATTATGCCCTACACTCACACCACTACATGGCCAAAGCAGGATTACAATGAGGAACAAATGAAGATTCCTCAAATTTCACGAAAACACAACAAACAACCAGAATGCAAACAAAAATACGAAGTACAAAACACAACACAAATTACTCAAGCCAATTTATATTTTTCCAAACACATCCGTACAGAGACAGACTACTCTTACCCAGAAAATCAAAGCCCTAAAATCCTAAAGCAATTTAAATTAAGTGAATGCAATATAACATGCAAACTTTAATATCAAAGAGAGAGAGGGAATTCGACAGAAACGTACCGATTCAGACGTTCAGATGAGAATTACTCGATCACGGAGGTTCTGCGACAACAGAAGCGCAACTCAAAGATAAACAGTACACGAGTTTCTGTGAGAAGAGATGAGGAATAGAGAACTTGATGTCTGGTAGGTATTTGGGTGTTACGATTAGGGTTAATTCATAACTCCATTGACAAGAAAGGCGCCACTGTCAGGAATAAGAAAGGCGCCATTTTTTCGAACCAGGCGCGACTTGACACCTTTGCTACGGGGAAACTGTAGCCTACCCGTATGGACCGTAAGCTTGCTTTTTCTCTTCAACCGTTCAGATGCATTTCAACGGCAGCGATTGATTCTTATATAATGTTCTCACATAAGCATTCTCACTTGATCCGGATGGGAGGGATGCCTCACTGAGAACTTAGGGGCCGCAAATGATTGAAGACGTCCCCGTATGTAATCGCCATTGGGCCACTTCTAGGACAAGACATGCCTTTACGATAGGAGATGTCATTGGGCCTCACACATGACAAGACGGAGGTAATAAGCATCGTTGCCCTAGGAAACTGCATAAAGCACTCATGACTATTAGCGTGTCAACTTCTGATTGAGCCCCTGCTCGGAAGCGATGGATTACCAAAAGCCACGTTTTCAGCCTAGTGGGCTGCGCCTCCCCATACCATGCAGACCACCTTCACCATGCGCCTATAAATAGAAGACCCATATGAAGGAGGATGCGGGCTAATCCCCAGGCCATGCTCTATGCTCTTTGTATATTAATCATTATGAGAAGATCAATCAAAGCATATTATCAACTTCACTTGTGTTCTTCCGTATCCCAATCTTGTTTTCATTTTGATCCATGTAACCTTGCACCCCCCTCTAGGATCAAAGTTTTATGTTGACCACTGGTTTCACTAGTCAACACCAGGGCTGATCTTGGGTGATTTAAGGCCCAGGGCCGAAGTCTAAGAATGTGCCCTTTATAAACAAATAAATAAATATAATTACAATTTTTTATGAAATAATAAATTTTATTAGAATTATAAGAGTTTACAACCAATAATATAGAACACTTTGGGCCTCATTAAAACCTTGTTTGAGGAAACCCCAAACAAATATAGTCAATAATATCCTATATGTTGGGTCATGTATATTGAGCTCTGGTGCTGGTGCTCCCAATTTTGAAGAGAATAATCAATTTCCAACTAAAAATGGCTTTGTTTCTTTCGCACTCAGTTTCTCGGAGAGAACATAAATAAAAATCGATTTCAAGAGCAGGAATCTTTGTCGAGTTCTTGCTTCTTGGAAAAACAATTATGTAGACTTCCTTTGCTTCTAGATCTATTTGCATCCTTATTTTTTATTATTGTTTTAAACTATCAAGTAAGACTCTCAATAAATATCACACATGCCCCTTTACTTTTATTTTTTATTTTATTTTTTTATGAGGACTTTTAATTTTATTTTGTTATGAGGACTTTTATTTTTATTTTTATTTGCATAGGCCTATATATGGACCTTTTTTTTATGAGTGCTTCTATTGAGTGGAAAGTTATAAGGGGTGTTTTTGAGGGGTATGTAAGAGCCGTTGGATTTCATCCAACGGTGAGTTTTTAAAAGAGGGTGCATGTAGAACCGGGTTGAAATCTGACCCGTTGGAAACCCAACTTCAGTTGAAGATATTTCCCTCTCTGTGAAAAATTCAAGAACACAATCCTCTGTTTTTTAATGTAACGCAAACCCGAAATTAGAAAGATCCAAAGCTCCCAAACCCTATAGTCGCTCCATTGTCATCAGCTCCTTGGGAGGCCTGCAATCTATGGCATCCTCGGTATGACGATTAATGGCTCTTACCTAGCTATTGCCCTGTTTTGATTCTGTGGCTCAAGTGAAAACCCCTTCTCTTTTTCGTTCAACACACGAGATTCCAGATGAAAGCAAAGTAGCATATCTCTTTCTGTAGCTAGACGTCGCAGCAGCATTTGTTCCTCGATTGTGGTAGAGATGGAGTCTCCACTACCAAAGAGTCTTCTCTAATGTCCACCACATTCTCTTAAGCTGATTGACTTCGGAGCTCCCGCTTGAGTTTGAGAGGTAAGTTTACTGTTGCTGGATTGATTTTATTGGGTTTGGTTTGTTTTTTGTGAGGGTGGGAAATTCGTCATTTGTGGCATCAATAACGCGTCATTTTTGCCATCAATAATGCGTCATTTCCTTATGAATATTCAATATATTTAGTTGATTATTTTTGGTGGGGGTGGGAAATTATGAAATGTAGGTAAAAGATCCTAAACTTAGGCTTAATGACATTAGGAGTAAGCATTCGGAGAGGATATTGGGAGAAGTTCTGTAATTGCTGGTTTGAATTACATTTGTGTTCTTAGTTGAACATGTTGGTTCTAATGCTATTTTTTCCAGATTATTGCACAAGAGATGACGTAACTATTATTAAATTTTGTGTAATAATGGGTCTTACCAACAAGCTAGGCTATGCGTCTTTTTTGTGTCAATTTGGGCAATGTTTTGTGTAAGTGGAATGCATTGATATGTTGTAATGCAGTAATGATTGATTAATGAATTAATATTTGCTATGCAGTGATATAAAAGTAGTTCAAAAATATATGTGGGTAAAATGTCTGGGGGCTCAGAGAGTGATGACTGTGTAACAGCTAATGGGATGGTTTACATTCCTGAAGTAAGAAATGAGGAAACACCAGCGGTTGGGATGAAGTTCGACTCGCTTGACCTCGCTTATAATTTCTATAACAGATATGCATTCTTGGCTGGCTTTGGTATTCGACTTCATTCCAGCTTTCGGGGGACATATAAGAAAGAGATTCTGAGGAAAGAATTTGTCTGTTGCAAACAAGGTGCATACAGGAAAGATGAAACTCGGGAGAGAAAAAGACAGCGGGGAATAAGTAGATGCAATTGCAAAGCTAAGATTGTGGTTGTGAAGACAAATGGGAGCAAGAAGTATGCCATCTCTCTTTTTGCAGAGGGACACAATCATAAGATGACAGCCTCAGAAAGAGTGCATTTATTGAGATCACACCGTCGTATTTCGGATTCTACAAAAGTACTTACAAAACAGTTGGGTTCGGTTAACATCCCCATTCATCAAAAGGTAAGTATTTTCGAGGTGCAATCCGGAGGAATGGATAAAATCGATTTTATCAAAAAGGATATTTACAATCTTGAATGTAGTGTGAATGGGAAGCTGAGGAACCACGATGTTGAACTAGTGACCGAGTATTAAAAAAGAGTGCATTTATTGAGATCACACCATCGTATTTCAGATTCTACAAAAGTACTCACAAAACAGTTGGGTTCGGTTAATATCCCCATTCATCAGAAGGTAAGTATTTTCGGGGTGCAATTCGGAGGAATGGATAAAATCGGTTTTATCAAAAAGGATATTTACAATCTTGAATGTAGTGTGAATGGGAAGCTGAGAAACCACGATGTTCAACTAGTGACCGAGTATTTTATGGCTGAACAGAAAAAAAATGAGGCTTTTTATTTCAAGATTGAGGGAGATGGCGAAGACAGGTTTAGTCGATGTTTTTGGGCAGATGCAACTTCTAGACGGGCTTACAGGTTTTATGGAGATGTTGTTGTATGCGATACCACATTCAACACTAATCGATACGACTTGACATTTGCACCAATATTGGGAGTTTATAACCATGGTCAGACAATTGTCTTAGCATGCACATTTTTTAGCAAGGAAACGACTGAGTCGTTTATTTGGATGTTTGAGGAGTTTAAGAAAGCCATGCCAGGTGGCGAACCTAAAACGATCATTACAGATCAAGATGCGGCCATGACCAGAGCGATTTCAATAGCCTTCCCGACTACATTTCATCGACTTTGCATATGGCACATCACATCAAAGTTCCCTGTTAAGTTACCACATTCTGCTTATAAGGAGTATTGGCGTGAATTTCAGAAAGCAATATGGGATACTAACAATAAGGATGAGTTTGATGCGAAGTGGAATATTGTGGTTACAAAGGCTGGTTTGACTGACCATCAATGGCTAAGTTCAATGTTTGATTTAA